AAATCAAAATAAAATAAAATTTTTCCACAATTCGCGAGAATACATGATAGAGTTTCATGATCATGATTCGGAACGTATAATTAACGACGCGAATGGTAATTTTAATTCTCAAGAAACCAATGCATTAAAGTCAGAACATCACGATGATGACGATGATATGATGGACGAATTGGAAAAAGATGAGATTGAAAATGTTCCACACGAAAACGAAGTGTGGCGCGCTCATATGCCTTCAGCTTCCAAAAGAAAGCGCAGTGGCGACAGTCCCAATTCCGATGAAGATCATTGTACACAGCCAAATCCTTCCGTCAAAAGACGATCAACGGATAAACACAAGGCGCCACCTCTCAGTAAGCTGACATTGTAATATATTATTTATTAAAGATATATAATAATTAACAAGAAATTCTTTATTCATTGTCATTTAGGTTGTGAAGCTGTTAAACGTCTTTTCACAGGTATCACCAAAGCAACTCTCATTCAGAGACTTGAAGAATCGAAAGCTTTAATTGCAGCCATTAAAGAAAGCTACGCCAATATCCGTGCACCTGCTCAATCTACAAATTTAGCATCATCATCACGTTTAAACCTTCTGTGTCATCTTCTTCAATCACCACCAACATCTCGAATTGATGGAATCTCTTCTAAAGTTTTCTCAAACTTGGAGCTTTATAAATTATTCACCACCTACAATTCTTACAAAGAAGAGGTCGCTCAAAACAACCATATTGATCCGCTAAACTCACCAAATAAACGTAGCCATACCTCACCTTCTTCAGATCCATCGTCGCCTATCACTTTTCCTACTTATTCTTCGTTTATCGATCCAACCGTTACCTTACATATTAAAGAACAAACTGGCGGTAAAGAAGTTGGAAAGCATCGGTTGAATTGTGCGTGGAGACTTAGCATACTATGTGAGTTACTAGGTAAAGGAGTATTGCTGATGACCAAAGAATTGAGTGGAGCTAAATTGGAACGAATTCTTGTTGAAGAATTTACCAAATTAGTAGAATTCTTGAAGAACTCGGATAATCATGATTGGGTTGCTAATGTTAGAGAGAAAATGGAGTTGACAGGATTTGATGAGGTTTACGCGCCATTAGCTGAAGCAGACATAGACAACAGTTCTAATAATAACTCCGGAACTGTTTCCGAGGCCGTTGGAATTAACAACGATAATCATATGGAAATGCAACAAACGATGAAACCTAACCTTGGAATCATCACATTTGCAGTCGATCACAACATTACACAAAATGTGATCGATCCAAG